AAAATCGCAAATCATAAAACTGAAGTCTGTCAAGAGGACCAGGCCACAAATATTTTATTTACAGTTCCTATTTAGATTCTTGATTTTCAGCAAGCGATTTAGCACCAGCAGGAACATGCTGAGTAGCATTACTATGTTCCCAAGGCAGAAGGCATCGAGGCCAAACCTTGCTCATTAAGTTTAAAATCATCTCTACTTAAGAGAATTGTCCACTTGAGTTAGCAAAGTGAGCAGGATTTGGCACTCAGTCATTCTAACCTAGACTGCTCATACTCCATTAACACATGAACAGTTACAAATATATTACAGCGTCTTTTGAGATTTTCCCAAAAAGTGTGATTTTAAGAGGGTTTAATAACTTTACATGTGCAAAAAAGTAAACCAAACTCATAAAAGGCTTGTATGCAGATTGTTTTTTTAAACCTAGGGAACTGTACTATCTTACCACAGATGAGAGAACATTGGCAATGTTCCTCAGAATATGTTACTAAAACTCAAAGCGGCAAGTGAGGAATTATCCCTCGATACTGCAGAGGGATAGTTCCTCACTGTAAGTTTTTTTTTCTCTCTCATATCTGTTGCATACTATACAACCTTGGTTATGTCTGATAAATCCAAATAATTCATGCAATTTATCTACAATTATCTTTCTGTGACTTAAACATTTCTGTTAACATTAAAAAAGACTCGAGCTGTATGTGTCAAGCATATTTTATAGCTCTGCACTGTAACCTACATTCTTGGTCACATACTTTTAATCTTACTCACAATAATTCTGTTTTCTTCTTAACCAAAGTAAACTCCTCTGCATATCGTATGACTTTTAAGCCTATGTTATCCAAAAAGGATCGAAACACTCCTTTTATTAGGAAAAAAAGTGACAAGGAAAAAACTACCTTAATTACATGTACATGAACGAAACTGAATTGATCTCCGACTCCATTCTGAAATTAACTAACCTGTTTCCTCAAGATTAGAGCCATCCAGGTTCCACAGTGTGAAAGGCATGTTTAAAAATTAGTTTGAATGCAAATTTAGGCATTAATGTAAGTTATGGACTGAATTCATAGGACATGCCTAGTCTTTAAGGAGTACAAATTTGCTCTAAAGGGAAAAAACACACTTGAATTAGCTACAAGCGTCAAAATCCTGCTATTATTCTGAAGCCTTTGAAAAATGAGAAGTTGCTGCAACTTATCTGGATACTTTCTGAAGATCTGCACTGGATGGAGACAAGAGCTAGTATTACAGTCCTTAAAGGCAATAGAAGCACCTTGCACATTTGTTATCAAAGACACATTTGCAAGTAAGAATCTCACAGTACCACTGAAGGAATATTTAATGCATTATTCGAAACCATAATTGAACTTTTGTTTTTAATATACATATTGAGAGTAAACAGAAGCTCGTATTCTCTGCATGACCTCTGGTCATGTCCTAACGGTCGCATTAGGAAAGGAGGTCATCTCTGACTCGGTGGCACAGCCGCAGCGTACGCCCGCAAAACTCCCTACGGAGAGGGGGCCAAGTTCCTCAAAAGGCAGGCGGGAGATCTGAACAACTTTTAACCTTACTATAGGTTTGGTCCAGACCGCCAAATAAATGGTATCAGAGTTGCTTCTCTCTGAATTGTAGAAGAGGACTTATTAAAAATAATGGAAAAATGTTTATATTTGAACCTCTGAGAGCTTCTGTAAAAATGACTGAAGATCTGTTCATTCTAGATTGCTAAATATGGAAAATATATTATAAAAAAGTTCCCTTCTTTTTCAAACGGCAGCTAGCTTAGGAAGAACTAGAAAGTTCAAAAAAAGTGGTTAAATTTAATAGCCATACCAACTTGGGATGGCTTGATATAAAATTAATTTATTTGTCTAGAAATACTTTATATTTTTCTGACTAAAAACTAGTATGATTTTTAGGGAGATACTGATACAGTAAAATTGTGCGTAATGCTTAGAAAGCTCAAGCGAGAGGGGTGACAGGAAGAAATGCAAGTGTAAGGGCTTTGGGAATAGAAAAGCCAGAAACTTCATGGAATTTTCCTGGAATCACTGAATACACTGGACTGGAGGGATCATTTCTATGACCAACAAAATTGCAATTTCTCTGGTGAGTGATATGAGCCAGGAAACCTCTTGGATTAAGTCCCAGTCCCAACAAAATTGGCATTATATGAAAAAATTAAAAGGCACTCAAATGGCTGATTGAGCTGAAAGTGATTACACAGTCAAGACAAGCTTTACGTTCTACTTTAGAAGTATCACAACTTTTAAAGAAGCTGTCCCACTTGAGAAGACACCAGTAGACCTGAGAAAAAACTAAGTTTCTTCTACTACAGTTCATGACAATGATCAGTTCTCTCTTAAGTCACTTCAACCAATTAGCTATGAAGAAAGGAAATAGCAAGTGTGAGGAGAAAAAAAACAAAAAAAAAAACCCACAGAACTCTACTGCAGTGATTCTGTATTAAAAAGAAAAAGCTTTTCAATCTATTTAGAAGATAGATTAAAACTTTCATAGACAATTTTACACGTATTTGTGACGCGTAGCATTTTTACTCATTGCCAGGTCATGCTTTGGAGACTCTAGTAACAAGTTTCAAGTTGAGAAAGAATAACTGAGACAAAACCTAAAAATGCAGCTTGATTACAGCACCCTTGGGCTTTTCAGCAGGCCTCAAACACTTCTCTGGTGGCTTCTGTAATAAATAACAGTTGTGCTGATTACAGCTACAGAAAAGAAATCAATTCTTAACCAAGCACAGGGGAAGAGAGAGAGGTAGGGCATGCTTCTTCATTCTCACAGTAGTTTCAATACAGTACGACTATTCGAGAATTACTTCAGAAGTTTATTTCATAACTCTGTACAGTTTACCTTAGAAGCGTCGTATCTTGACGTCACACCAATTTCAAAGGGTTTAAATTAACCAAGGTCCTCAGCTAACCATCTCCTGCATGAGCTTCTGGTTAAGGGCATAAGTTATTTCCAAATACTGCTTCAAATGCAGCTGTGTTTCAATAACACAAGATATGAGAAGTGAAGTAGCAACGAATATGGACTAAGGGAATTATTTCTAATCAAGTTATGGTAGAGGTATCTTGAAGGATTTACCCAAAAAAGCACAACATGCAAAGATTTCAAGAAACTGTCAAAATCCTCAGAATATTAAATTTTCAGGATGTTATTTTAGCCAAATAAAGCTTACCTTCCATAGTTCTTCATAACTTGAAAGAAATAGTAATGGAATTTATTAAAACACGCCATAGAAGCCACATCCACTTATTTTCTCAACTTCTCTGATTACCATGGATTAGTTGAATTGTGGGTGTAAATCATTCTTTTTAGTTTCTCTAGACTAAAACACTATCAAAGCAAGAAGAATGGAAGTGCAATGTGAGTACCGGAAAAATGCAATAATAGACCAAGCTGTACTTGGTATTGACACTGGGCTTAATGAAGTAGCTACTCTAAATTACTGCACTCTTGATGTCTACAGGAGCTTTTTCTTTTATAAATGATATTAATATGGAACTCTGCATTTAAAGAAAAGACAGATGGCTGAAAATAGTACATAAAATTTTCTTACATGGTAGATGGATAGGTGGAGTGCTGTAAATACAATGTAGCCATGCTGTGGAATAATCCAGCAATCAGTTTTAAAAACATATTAAAACCCAACACAAATGTGCTCTTGTCTGGTTGCTCTTCATGCACTTATAGGAAACATTAAACATTAAAATCATAAAATTGGTCATTTCTTTACTCTATAAAGAAATATATAGCTAACATCTGTGTAATGCTCTTACTAATTTAAGATCTCACATTCCGGCTTCAAGACTAGATTTATTACACTAACCACAATTATAAATTTTTGAAGTATAAAGGAAAAAAAAAAAAAAAAAAAACAGTTCCAGAGTATGGATTTTATGCCAAGGCCACAGTATGATGAACAGTTCCATAATAACAAGGGCACTAAATATTGGTCCTTTTGGTGCTGCAATACAAACTCTGATGCTGTCCTTCAGAAATGAACTTCCAAATCCAAGCTAAAGGCTTTCATTTTTAATGTCTTATTAGATACTAAAGAACCCATAAAATGAAAGAGAAATCATATATTTTAACTGTAGCATGGACAAGTTCTTCTAACATACAAAGAAATAATGGGTCAAACTATCAGAATTACAAGGCCCCAAGTTTAGTCTGTTTTACGAGGGTCATCTTCAATGCTCAAAGGCTTGGTTGTACCTCGACAAGTGATGATATTAGAATTTCACTCATAAAATAGACTGAAAGCCAGAAGAGAACCAATTTTGGAAGCCATACCGTCTTAAATCCTCACTCTTTGAATCTTTACCCTAATCCAAAGACAGGAGAGATCTTCTGAAAATACATGGTATATCTTCAATTAAGTGAAGAGGGCAAGTGCATACCTTTACCAAATCATCAAAACAACTACTTGCTCCTTTGCTTTGTCTGGTCTTTTGTCCTTTTATTTTTCCTCACTGAAAAACAAAGCATTAATATTTTTATATCAAATCAGAAGGATTATTGTAACAAATAGTGTTAACCCATTGCTATTCCTACTGCAGGAAGCAATTGTGTGGAGCTTGCCCATCTTGTTGCTAGTACTCTGAAGCTGTTTATTCTGCAAGTACCCAAGGGAAATCTTACTCTTAATACAGCATAACTAATAAAAATAAATTTTCACTCATCAATTCTATTCAAAACATATGGGCTTAAAGCCTTAGGGGCAAACTCACAATATTTTGGGTCTGAACACTTAAAGGATTGTCATTCCTTCTTCTGGAAGCTTGTTTTCAGAGGATGTATTGCATATTAAAAGTTCAATACTGGCTATGTGTGCCGAAGAACATAAATGATAACCCTAACATTTCACTTTTCAATGCCCAAAAGAGTATAAACCCCTTCCTTACAATGGCAATATTCAGTAGCTTATCACTTCTTAAATTTAAAAACAGTTGCAGCAAATTTGCTGCTTTCATCTCCCCTCCCCATATTTAGTTTCCAATGCCATAAACAAGTGCCATCCAGGTGGAAAACAGTTCAGTGTAGTGACATCTGGTATCTCAACTGAAATTTGGCAACCCAAGAAGAGCACCAACAGCTCCAAAGTATCCCTGTTCAAAACAAACAAATAAATATTTCAGCTTCAACTAGAAAATTAAACACAGCACTTATCACACATTTCAATGACAGAGTATGAGGAAGATCAACAATAAAGAGCATACACTTCAAAATATCTTCTTCCAAACATTTTATCCTTAACTCTAAAAGATTCCCCACAAAGTCTACATGCTGCAGGATTTCCAAGACAGATTTCCAAAGATTTCCTATTCCAAAGTGGATAATGAATCAGTTTGTTTTCTTCTTTTTTTTCTTCCTCCTAGAGGCACTACATGTTCTCATTGCCAATGGACAGTCCAACCATAGCTATTCCCAAAATGCAAGTTAAGAAATCTTAAGTATCCCCTTAAGTTTGTAAAGAAAGTATCGCCAGACTTCAATGCCATTTTTTGAATGCAGGCTTAGGCTGTACACAAAAATCCATGTTCATCTGTTAGATTATCTTTCCCTGCAGTAAAGGAAGATGTTCTCCCACTCTACATATATGTAATATAAAATGATTTCACAACAGTCTTTGGAATCTATACTGAATTCAAAATATATCCAAAAAGTATCTGAAGGGGTAGAACTAACAAGGAACCCTCTGTTATTACTATCACCAGAACAGAGCACTGGTCAGTGTTAGGAAAGGCCATAAAGGAAACAAGCAAAAAAGTGGTCAGAATTGACTGAAGGGAAGGAGAAGTAACACTGTATAATATCTGTAGGACCAAAGTTCAAGGAGATTTCCCACCCCTTACTAAAAAGCTACAGGTCTCCCAGCAGCTGGACCAGTCATTAATACTGATTCTCTGTATTTTAACCGGAACGTCTCTCAGCATAATCCACAGTTTGTATCTACTGCCCAAAAGCAGACTGCTCACAGAGCATAAAATTACTTTGCAAAAAGCTTAAGATCTGGCCGTGGAATCATGAAAGCAACCCTGGTCAAATGCAGTATTGATTTGCAGTATGTTGCTCGAGCTTAACTGAGATCAACATAAATATTTCAAATGCTCATGCCTGAGACGCCACCATGATCTCTTGAAATACAACACTTAACTATTGTTTCTACCTACAAGCAAGGAAAGATAGGTTAATCTTCGTTTGAAACTTAAATTCCTTGTCCTTGGGCAAATATCTAGCCAGAGCAGACACTCTAAACTGACTAAAACTCCTTTTGTGTCAGTGAGAACTGTCCCCAGAGAACCGACAGAGCATGAGAAACCTCATCTCATTTTCAGTGTTCACTGAACACTGAGTATCTCCAGATATCACACTTGAGAGCTATTCAATATGTGCATTTTTAATTCATGGTAAAACAATACATACGCATAAATGAACCATAACATACCTCATGTTCTAGGAACAAGGCCTTCAGTTGGCCTTTTGACCAGTAATCCAGTGCATATGCAAGAAGCTTCATTGACAAAGTATTCACACGTAAAAAATTGCCAACAAAGACAACTCTGTTTATTTTCTAAAAAGAACAAAAATATAACACAGGAATTAGATCTTTTCATTATTCAACATGCCTGTGAAAAAACTAAGGTATGAAAACAATAAGCAGAAAACAAAACAAAGTAAAACATGGTTCCAACATTGACATGTAGCACGCCTGTGGAGAAGAACAGTCCAACGCGTCCCACCATATCAATAAAGTTTTATTATACAGACATGTAGCATTCGTACCTCAAATTAACTGAATAAGCATCTGCAGTAACTAAGTCAAAGCTTAGACAGAAGTAAAATAAAAGACCGGTACTTTTATTGGGTAGAGAAGACTCAATGCCTTCATAGCCCTGTACAATGCTGCTTGATCCATATGCAACAAGGCAGCACTGTAAAGAAGCCGAAGACAGTAAGAAATAACAGATGTCCACTTCATCTTCACATATCAAAACAGCTCAGGATAAAACTAGACTAGGACTTAAATACATAGTCAAAGCTGTGAATTTTATTTAAATGATTTTCTTTTTATTCTCCCCCCTCCCATTTTCCCCATTCACTGAAATAAAATTGACATGAAGTGGAATGGTCAATGAATAGAATTAATAGAAATCAATGAATAGCAATATCCACGTTGTTACTAAGACCATTACGACAACTTGAGCTGTAATCAAAAGCAAATGCACGCTAAGTCCTTTGATTACCTTGATTAGCTCCCACAAAATGGCACCAAGCAAATTTGCTCAATACTGGGAAGCAGAAATCCATTCTGTCTTTATTCATCAGTTCAAGATATTAGTTTGCATATCCATATTAGATGTATCTTATGATGTGATATAGCTGGCACACATCAAGAAAAAAACTTTGACTATATCTAATTTGTATGTCTCTTATTTTAGATTTATACTTACTTACTCCAGCCTTTATATGCAAATTGTGTAACTTTGCAAGAATTACTATTCCTACAACACGGATGACTTAGATTGCTGATACATGCTGCTAGCTTCATGCTCATTTAAAAACAGAGAAGTTAACGAGGTTGTTAAACGAGATTTATATGAGTATCATGACCACGGTCTTTATGCAAAGCTCTTCACAGAGCTTTAGCTCAGAAAGATATCACTAAGCCTCAAATCATTCAACGTCTGTTGAATGATGAATGTGATTAACGGATGATCAGTGGATGATCAGCTAGCTCTTCCGGGTGCCCTTTCCTAACTTAAATCCACCTAGGCTCTTAGTTATGCGATCTACCTCCCCTCTCCGCAGCATCTTAAACGCTACCATTCTCAAGGCTGCCACTGACATGCCTGGCCATTATTTTCTCACTCCCAAGTCCAGGTCAGGGCTTTCCCTAGCCAGCCTGTCAAAAAGTTGTCCTCAACACTCCAGAAGTCTGGATCGCTTATGTTACTTTTCCAATACAGGTTGGAGTGGTCCCTCATGAGAGCCAAGCCTTGCAAGCATGATGTTTCTTCCACCATCACAAGGATTTTGCCTTTGTTCCTCAAAAAGTGTCCAGGGCTTAGAAAAGTCCAAGCCCTATTGGTGACACCAGCCATGCGGCCAGGTGTTTCGCAAGGGGATGAATTTACTTCTCTCCCAGCCTTCTCCCTAGATGTCAAGATTAAGACCACCATTCGGGTGCCCAACTCCTTTAACTCAGCTCTCAGAGTCACACAGTGAGTCTGGATCTTTTAAGTGGCAAAAAACTTATTTGCTACTAAATTTCCATTATCAAGTCAAAATACTCAAAATATTCAGGTCCAAATCCCAGTTTCATTAATACAACTTGTTCTTTTTTGATTTGAGAAAAGACTAGAAGATTTCAAATGGCCTATCATTTTGGCAGTCCTATAATCTGAAGCCACCCGGTAAGATCTACAGATCCTTCAATTCTAGAATTGTTTACCTCATTTACTGCACACATCCGGGCAATAGACCCAATATTATTGGTGATTGTGACCAGTATGGCTCTTGCCAGGTCTTCTTTACTCACAGACTCTCTCTTCTCTTTGTAGATCATATTCCCAAAACTGGAATAGGAAAAAAAAGTACCTAGTAATTTGGGTGCATTTCTAGTCATCTCAGAGTGAAATTTTTATGCAAAAGCAGAACTTATTTATCTCATTTATTCTTACATAACTTTTCAAGCCCTTATTAAATGCAGTAATTTGACAACTAACCCCATAATGCACATATCTATACAGTAAAATAGCAATCTCATTAAAATGATGACTACCAACAAATTTTCATTTACATTGCCAGTTTTCATGAAGAAGCATCTACAAAAGAAAGCAGCATTTTTCTTGGTTTGTTCTTGGCAAAATTATACTGTAGCCTAGACAATGCAAACAAAGCCCATACATAAATCAGATGGTTAACTCTCCAACTTCTCATGTTTGCTTCCTCATTAAAACCTACCCTCTGAAAGTAGCAGAAGAAAAACACAGATGAGCTGAATGGCTGTGTTCCATCATAAAACAATCAAAACCAGAAAACACAGGGCTGACAAACGACTAGGTCACTAAATAGTAACCTGAGACTTAGGTTGTACAAATCCAATTAATTTTCACCCCTATCCACAGTATATTGCTTCCTACAAATAAATAACAACAATAAAAAAAATCAAGACAAGTTTCTATAGCTATGCATGGCATTTTACCACTAAGGAACCCATGCCACACCTAAGGTCAAAGAGCCAGAATTCTGAGGATTCTAAGACTCATACAGCCATAAAAGTTTAAGGGTGTTAATAAGTGAGAACAACAGCAACTACCCACACAGTCACTTAAGATGAACTGGAAGTATAAAACTGTACATATTAAATCTTCTCTGCAGATATATTTTCTAAACTCAGCTGACTGGATTTAGATGGTGGGAAAGGAAGAAAAATTAAGTTGTGTGAATGATAACCTCTTTACTACCACGTAAGGTTAAAGGTTTACTGAACTCTGTTAAGTACAGATCAGTTTCAATCTGAAAGCCTACTCTTCTTGCATTTCTTAAAGGTAGAAAATCATAAGATTCCCCAATGGAAGTAAAAAGAGCAGTTATGTCAAAATTCCTCTGTAACACAGTCAAATACAAACATCTGCAGGTGCAGGCTGTTTATGTTCAAGAGCCCTCAAATTTGTAGCTAAAAAATTATCCCAGGTGCCTGTAATGACCTCCGCATAACAAAAAAGCAGAGTCATTCCAGAAATGAAGAGATGCTAAAAAAAGAAAAACTGAAGTCTCTCCTTCCTCTTTCATGTCACTCCCAGCTGGACAAAGGGCCTACTAAAAGATTCTCGGAAGTCAACAAGTAACTGCTATTATTCTCTCATTTGTGTTTGTCACTCCTGAGATCACTCCTGTAATTAGCTCATGTGCTGACTCATGAGGGAAAAACAAACAAAAAAAACGCTCATCGGTATGACTTATCACATGTAATTTTTCAGTCACATGCCACCACGTGGCTTTACATCTCACAAAACCTAAGTAAATATATTTTTATGGCAGAAAATGTTACTTCAGTATAAGTGTGCAAAAAGCACTTTTCTCTATATTGACATTTTAAGTCTCCTTTTTTCTTCTTCTTCCCAGTATGCTAAAGTTTCAAAAAAGGCTTGTGCATGAGAAAAGATGCATAGCAGGTTTCTTTATTACCTGGATGCTACTGCCCATCCTGGTAAGCCAAATCTTTCATAATCTCCTCCATAAATATCTCGAACCAGCTTGTCAGCATGTGTGCTGTCTCCTTTGGATGCCATTTCCAGAGCTTCTTCAAAACTTTCACAGCCCGTTAACAAACTGCATAAACCAAGAAAGGTCCCTCCACCTAGACTAATAAGAAAAAAAAAAGCTTGCTTTTAAACAGCATTTCTTCAGATCAGAGATTCTCATGCTACAACCAATATGCATCCACCCCTCCAGCTTCTATTTCAGCTTGGTAGACAATTTACAAAATTCTCTACTTTTTTGCTTACTATAATCAGGTAAAAAAGGATATAAGTCACTTGCAAGAAGCTAACTGTACAGTAAGCAGCAGCAAATAGGCATCAAAATGCCAGCTGGAAGATGTAAGAGACTGAAATGCCACACGTCTTACCGCTCTTGCTGGTCCTTGATTATTTATTTTAAAACACATGTGGACATATTTATTGGTACATGGCAAAAGACATATAAGTACACTAAATCCTATCGAAGTTTAAGCCAAAATCCATAAAACACACTCATATGAAGCACTTACAAAACACATCAGCTGACAGAGAAAATACTGACTAAACCGCCTCAATAACAAAGCTATGGAGCTGATGCATCGGTAAACTAAAGGTTAAATAGTTTTCCACACTTTAAGGAGAAAGGAGGGGATAAGAGAAGGGGGTAGGACTCAAGATGAGGCAACATTTTGTAAACACAAAGCTACAGTTCCAAACAGACAGAAACAACTTCATTTTTTCATTTATTACCTTGTTCCAGTTACTCTTTTATAGTCATCTTTGGAATGGACTGATAAAATACTGACTCCTGAACCAATGTTAACTACCAGCAGTGGATATGGGTCATCCAGGTTAAAAGGCATCTTTTGGCATCTTTCAGGTTCCGAGGCATTTTCAAAGTAATAGCACTCTGCCTGCCCGTTGAAGCTGACAGAGTCTATATACAACAAGCCTTTGACAAGGCAGTCAAGCTCATCCAGTTTGTGCAGCTGGAGGTTTCCAATCTGTGTCAAAGAGGAAAAAAAAAAAAGAAAAAAGTTAGCATAACCTAACATAACCTAAGCATGCTACAAATTAATGAGTATACATATATTGCCTAACTTTAAGCAGTTATCTCAGATGACTAATTCATAAACTCCAATTCAACTATAAAGTCAACAAGCATTCACAGGTAACTCTGAGTGTGCAAACATCTCTGATATGGATATGGATCTTAGGTTCACATTAGGCAAGGCAGGCAGTATAAAGATCTGTTTCCCAAAGCTCAGCAATGTAATTTTGACATAAGCGGACATGTATCAGCACCATTTTTTCAGCACTCTATATCAACAATGATCAGCAAGTACCATATAGGCTCTATCTAGGGCTATGATGGTCCACTGACACACCTGCACACCTTTCCAAGGCTTTTGTTGGAGCAGGGGGGCAGGGATGGACTTGCCCTCCCCTCTTAAAAATCAGTCATTTCTAGGATGTCATTTTCAGAAGACAGCTTTCTAAGCTCGCTTTCGACAGCAGCCTGCTGCACGGTCAGACCCGGCCGCACAGCCTGACCCTGACATCCGCACTAACTCACAATATTTCTCGCCCCCTCCTCTTTCTGCAGCCCACTGTGGCTCTTCACGCCAGGGCACAAGAGTTCATCACATTTCATAATTGAGTAGGTCAGGGAAATTGTGAGTCACTGAAACACAGAAGTGTCGGTTTTGGAAGGCACTTCTGAGGATCATTTGGTCCAACCCACACAAGATATTTTTGTGGGGTTTTAGAAGCTTAAGTAGCTCTGCTGTACAAATTGTGACGCTACCCCTCCACAGTTGTGCTGGCCAACCACAGGCCTGGCGGGAGACTGGAGATACAGGCAGATTTTGAAACAATGCTTTTTGTATTCGGTACATTAAAAAAAAAATCTTCTTGCTTCTGGAACCTCAAGAGGACTGTGACTTTTTTCAAGCAAGGACATGCACATACTAAATATTGTGACATTCCCAGCTAGTGATAACACGACTGTAGTAATTTCAGATGGAAGCACCATCTGAACAAAGCATCACTTTTAATCATCAAGGGAAGAACCAAAGCACCTCAGAAAAATAAAATCTCTTTGGAGTCAAAAAGATTGTTTTATAGATACTCATATTGCCTGTTAATATCTGTTATATATATGATATATATTCATATCTTAACATGCCACTAGGTTAAATTCATCAGGATAATCAGGTCCCCACTTTCATATGAATTACCCTTCATAAAAGTAAGGCTGGAGAAAACTACCAAAGGCTAAAGAAGAAAGAAAATCTGAAGCAAGTTAAGCATCACAGCAGTTTAAGTAAATTTCCCAGGAAGAAAACAAAAACAAAAGGATTAGTCATCTTCCATAAAGGTGTCTTGCATTTTACTGTATATATGGAAGCTCCTTTAAGCTACTTAGTTATCTGGCATCGGATCAAAATGCCAGCAGTTCCCTCCCAGCCCTCTCTTTGGCTATGATGACGACAGCAGAAAGAATACTTCTAGATAACATACTTAAGAGTCTGAAACACAAATTAACAGTTAATCATCAACAAGCATTCCACATTTCCTCAAAATATTGCTTATTCTAACCCACCAGCGGCAATGCTATTATACAACAGCTTCAGTACAAGGAAAGATAGGCTACCTACTGTGCGAAAGTCTTCTTCAAACTTGTAAGCGCCACCTCCAGTGGCACAAAGCACCGTATGTAGTGTTGAAAAGTTTTTATTTCTTCCCATTTGGATAAAAGTCGGCAAATCATGAGTTGGGAACCGAATAAAGTGCAAGTTTCCTCTTCGACCAAAAATTGTTAAGTCCTTCAGTTCAAGGTGGACGTCTCGAATGCCAGTGGATCCATAGGCTACGTTAGAAGTCAGGTATTTGCGGATACTCTTCAAGCTTTCAACCTCCTCTTGCTCCTCCTCTGCAGTGATATCAATAGGTTCAAAATATGCAAGTTTCACTAAAGTCCCCCCAATGTCCATGCCAAACCATGGGAAAGCTGTAGAGAGATAAAACCATCGATCCATTAGCTTGGTTAAAAAAAAAAAAAAAAGCGAAAACAAAATATGTAATTTAAGAATGAACCAGCAGTATACTTTTCAACAAGGAAAGTATAACAAAAATCTTTGTATGAGAAGCTAGCCAACAACACTAAAGTATTTTGACTTTTTTGCACTTTTTTAGCATAACTGCACAAAGATTTTCTTAACTGGAATTCCACTGTTTAGGTCATCTTAAACTGTCCTTTGAACATGCCTGTATCAATAAACCTTCACAACTGTGTGTGGTGAAACAGATTTTCAGTAATGCCATAGCAAACAAAATGCCTTTATCTTAAGAGTTTTCCTCCAAAGTTTCCCAGAAACTTTGTTTCAGAAGCAAAATGTTTAAGAATAAACCAACAGCTAGAAATGTCATATTTCTTTTTCTAACCATCATTTTTTAAAAGAAATATTCTGTAAAATTCTTTTATTTCTTCAAATGCCATTAATGTATTACAGAAACATGAAACTCTTCAGCAAATAATGTTAACATATTCATCGAGAACAACATGTAGTTAAAATTACAGTCGATTTATATTATCAGTGGAGCTTTATCCTTGGAAAGAAAGGCCTACCAAAATATTTTAAATATTTTCACATATTTAGTCAAGACTGGACAAGAGCCCTATCTTTTATAACATATGGGCAAAAGTTAAAGGAAGGAACGCTTAGAAGTTGCCTCTACTTTCAGAAATGGATGTTCAGAGAATATTGCCAAACATTGACAAAAACAGATCAAGTCAGTAGCTTGACCAATATCATAAAAGATGTATTAAAAAAAAAAAAAGATTTAAGTCAAATTTAACTCCATGTGGAAAAAAAAAATTAAAAGCAACAAAAGTGAGAAAATGTAATAAACACATTTCAGGGAACTTCACTTAATCTTTTAACAAATTCTCTTTTCAAGCCTCAGTACTACCAAAAGGGATTTTAGTACTGCGCTGTTCCTGCAGTGTTAGAATGTCAGAAGAAACAGCAAGGGCAGCTGCTGGCATGGAGTGAAACTAAGAACGTGAGTGCTAATAAAATTTAAATAATGTACCAAATAAAACAAAGCTAGTAAAATATAAATGACTTATTAAGGCTTTCCTTTATCTACGGAAGAGTAAGATCAGTCAAAACGTTTAAAAAAAAAAAAAAAAGTCAAAAATGTATTCAACAACTGGATGCCTGACTGGTTTGCCTGGAGAAAAAACACCCTAGGTAAAAACATCCATTTTTCTGTCAACTACTGAAAAAAGCGGCTTCATTTGCAGAGTTAAAATCAGGCCACAGAGAGAGTTAGCACCAAGGACTAATGAGAAAATGACCAAGATCACAGCCAGGTTCCCCACACCACTTCCTCTGCGCACGAGCGCCAAGCTAATTGTGTCATTGTCAGCCGCTGCCCCATCTGCTTTCACATCACCTGTACAAGCAGCCTGGCTATTACCTTGCAGCAGATATATGACCACTCTGCCCAAGATGTAGCTGCTGCTATTTGGGACATGTTCAAAGCTCAGCAGTTTCGACTCTTACTTATGGGTATCCACAGCACAATTGCCAGCACGGTCTCATCAAATTCATGGAAAAAGTCAGTTCCAGGATAGGCCTCTCTTTGAAAGCTGCCTTTGAACCAAAACAGCACAAAGGCTATCTTGGGCTGAGGATATATAAAACATTTTACAAGAAGTATTTTCACATTCAAATCTGTAGATCATGCTTTCTTCTGAAGCATCTAGGAGCTCAATCACCACCTTAGGAAACAAACAGCAACAACAAAATAGACATTACGTTGATCCTTACTACCATGCTACTTAAAGACATGTGTCTGCCTCAAGCCTGTATCTCTGCAGATATCGAGCTTTGAGGACTCTAATCTGTTCTGAAGCTTCTATGCACAAGGAGTGTCAATGCACCTAAAGCAGTGTCTTTCTGCACCTCTTTGGTTACCTCATCATGTAAAGATTTTTCTTAGCTCTTCTTCTTCCAAACTGACCTATTTCCTAGGAAGGTTCTACAAAGAGTGATGCAGAGCTCAGAAGGTGCCCTTGTGGAGAATTAAATCATTATTCACAGACTAAATCCATTGTCTTTTCAAAGTTCTTATTTTTGTGGAGGTCAATTGCATTTTGAATACTGAACAGAAAAGGAGAAGTTGAGCTTCTCAGTGAACTTAATTGCCTTGGACAAATTGCACGACTTCCCAGAAACATATTTTCTACTTCTCGAAAGTCAAATTAAGCTCTTTTCAAGATATACACAGTTGTTTTACCATCTGATAAGAGATGAATATCCAAAGCAGAACACAAGCTTGCAAAGGCAAAAAGCATAGCTGAATGTGCCACTTCAAATTAAACTATCTCCAACAAGAAGCAAAAGGGGTATCAAAATACCCCTTTTGACATCTCAATTCCAAATCCAGGTATTACCTCATTTCCAGGCTCTGCCATGAACCACTGCGTGGCCTAAATTACAACAGCAACCAAGAACCTTTTATAAAGCAACTGCTTGTTCTCTATGTGATGTAAAGCTGGCTTTGAGAGGCAAGCTGCTCATAATTAAGAAATAAAAGAGTAACTCCTAGAACTGTTTCCTGCAATCTAGAAAAGCACTTCCTATGCAGGAAGAGTATTACAATGAAACTTGTGTTCAACTAATACTACAACAAGAAAACCCAAGATGACAGATTTTAAATTACTATTATTGAGAGCATGCAGATGATCCTAATTTTGTTATGTCTGCAATTGTCAAGTTTTTGGGTGTTTTGGCTGCAATCCAAAAATAACTTACGCCTCATCATATAATGTCTTTAAACGTCAGCAAAAAGTAATTACAATAAAAATCGTTCTCAGCTCAATAAAAGCATAAAGCCTGATGCACTTGCCTCTTTTATGCATCCTGCTTCATCTGGGCAGAGGGCTCTAAGTCCTGTTCTCAAATCATGTTATAGTATTTTGATTTCATATGTCCATTTTGGACAGTATTTTCAGAACTGTAGGAAGCATACAATCAAACAATTATTTCCCCCTTATTTAGTCAAGTATAAGATTTTTCCAGTTTAACATGCTAAGGACAAGAACAACCCTCCCTGCTAAGCTCTTTCCTTTGAAGGAAACAACACAGATTTGCAACATAATTACAGCTTTATTCTCCTCACTGTAACATAAAGTAAGAGCTTGTGCCAGCCCTATACTAAATTAACAAAAATTAGCCTTTGAAGAGGAACTAATTCCTAACATTTGGGAGGGAGCTGTTAACATGAGAAAACTTTTACAGTGACAGTAGAAAACATGGGACCAGATTTTGTGTCAGCATTGCACAGTTGCTTATATTTTCCACACAAACTAGATACAGATCAAAGCCTTCAGCTTATTTTCTTGTGGCTTACCCAATGCTTAAGTGCAATGTTGTCTTGTTTTTACTTTAAAAATTGCCAGTAACAGATAGCGCTCATGACACAAGGTTTTATAGTTTATATTAATACGGAATTGGTTTTGTTTTATGTTCCTACTAGCCCTGAAATGAGGGGCCAAACCTGTGAAAGGTAGGATCTCCACTGCATCCTCTGTAAATAACTCCCAGTGCCTTATGTGGAGTGACATTCCAAATTTATTTTCCCAGCCAGGAGAATTTAAGACACTTGGACCACTTCAAATACAACTGTGAATTTCAGGACAGATGCGAAACATTAAGTGTACTGCAGTCCACAATTCCGTACTGGTTGAAAACACAAGAAAGGAAAATTTCCATGTAACTGTATGAAAGCTTATATTTGTCAGCACCGCAACAGCTCTTTGTAAAAGCAAGCAAGACGATCAATTTTTAAGCAAAAAAATTATCTACTAATCTTGCTCAGGATGGCTTTTGATAACAGAATTTTGATCCTGTTCTTAGTCATTAACTGTAAAGAAAAACAAGTTCACTAGGCAGAATTTGTTATACTGTGCTATTTTACAGTTTGAGTTAAAAAACAGAAACTTAAACTAAATATATTTGACCATTCCTCTAAATACATTTTCCTCTATGTGCATATACATAACCTTTTTATATGTGCCTAAAACATAACTTGAATGTAACAGAGTTAAGTTTAATGGGAAACTAACATCTACATCAGCTTGAAGTCTAAAGAAACCAGCGTGTGTAACAGGACAATTTAAGAGAAAGTACACCCAGCATCTTTGACCTGCTATATCAAGATATTTCAACATTACTGGTAGAACACAAGCTTCCTTTGTTGTACTAATGTTGCACAGATGTGAGTACATGAGCATCTAGAGAACAGAATTTATTTCATCTGTTCTCAGACCTTTAGATATCTGGGATTTTTCTTACTTAAGTAGTTTTATAACAGTATTGTTTTGTTGTTAACTAACCCAAGCCCCTTGCATACTAGATTTGGGCTGGGTAGGATTCAACATTCCTTACAGGAGATTTAATTTTCCTGACTAGCTGAGCACTGTAAATTTAGTGTCTTTTCCAAATTTAGGTTAACATACACAAAGAGTAACTCATGGCAAGAAAAAAAGCCACTCCAAATTTGCATATATTTTGTCTAGAAAATATAGATTCAAAAGTTAATCTAGTTCAACATCATAATGTTCAGCCTGTAAAACAAATAATAGATTAAAATTTAACCGAGTATTTCACTAGCTGCAGTCTTTTTACATAAAATATTGGTCTGTGGCAGCAGATAATACTGAATAGCAATTATCAAACAAAAAAACAAGGAAATGAGTAACAAATACAAAGTAAAAATGCAAATCTTGCTCTAGGATCATATGCCAAGAGTACCATATACAAAACAAAGGTAACTATTCTGCTCTGCTCAGCTATGGCAAGGTTTCAATTAGATTACCATCTTGGAAAAGAAAACAAAAACACAGAGCCTTCAGAACAGATAACAAAATAAAGAAACCTAGCATGACCAAGAAGATGTGTCAAAGTGCCTCATTTTGCTTTCTGAAAACAG